CTTAACATGTATATAAAGAGAGAAATGTACTAGAGAAAAAGCAACAATAAAATACCGTCCTTTTACTACAAAACTCAAACTATTGTCTAACACTTTCACTTACCTCGTGCCACATCTCCACGCCTCTTTCGACGTTACACGATTGGCGATCACGACGTAGTGACAGACTCGCCGTTATCACCCCCAACAATTTGGTGGTGACTGTGAGATTCGAATTAACCGCGACAAAGCATTACCCCTCCCAATATTTTTTGTAAACAACAAACCTAAAGAAAGAAAAAGAAGATTGCCAGTAAGTACAAAAGAATCACAATTATGGATGAAGAACAGTTCCAACCATTCCTGGAAGAAATAACTCGGCTGCTAGGACATATCGCGGGAGGAAGACCCGGGGCTCAGGAGGTGAATTACGTGAAGATTAGAACCTTCACTGATAGAGAAGATGATGACCCGATCGAATAGATGAAAGAATTCGAGAGGGCGGCAAATGTGAACAATTGGACCGACGAACGAAAACTTCAGATTGCACCCGGATACCTGAGTGGGTTAGCCGCAGACTGGTATAGAGAGCAGAGAGGTAACATTAGAGAATGGAGAGATGAGGAACGAAATGACGAAAGTTTCCATCAATTATTGATTGAGTACTTCGCGACTCCAGAGAAACAGCATCGATGGCAGAAAGAGCTTAATGAACTAGTACAGGAAGAAAACGAGAGAGTAGACTCGTACGCCACAAAATTCAAAAAGTTACTGACACATGTCGATCCCGAGGAAGAATTACCGCTTAATTACGTAATACAGATGTTTTTGAGCGGGTTAAAAGGGAACACGGCAATGTTTGTTGCTATAACATCACCAGATACATTACAAGAAGCAATTTCCACAGCGAGACGAGTAGAAGCTGGCGAATACTACAGGAGGCAAACACCTGGAAAACAACAGCACAAAAAACTAAAGGATGAACTGAGTAACATCGCAAAAAAGATACAAGAAATCACCTTGAATTATGCAGTGACAAGACCAACCGCTGAAAGCGGAGATCGACAGCCCGCTACTAGACCAAGAAGGAACGACAAATGTTTCCAATGCGGGAAGTATGGACATATCGCCAGATATTGCGATAAAAGACCAGCGGATAACCAAGAACACCTAAGATGATCAAGGAATGTTAAACATTACGAAATAGAAGGGGATGATGACTATGAAATTGAAGAATATGACAAGGTGTATAATACCAATGTAACTCGAAAAGTAGGAAGACCACTCAAGAGGAGAATAGAACACTCAAACGATGGTGAACAAAGAGCCAGAAGAAAACCAGACAGGATACCACCAACGGAAGTGGAGATCCATAAAGACGAACCGATGGACTTAGACTTGGAAGAAATTCCTAAGCCGCGCAGGAAAAGAGGACCGTCTGTAGTAGATTCACTGACGTCATACAATATAGCCGACGACATCCTCACCCTAAAATCAAACATTACATTGGGACAGTTGTTACAATACCCAAACCAGCGCAGGAACCTAGCCAAAATATTGAGAAGACCGGTACAACAACCTCAAGAAACTAACTATGTTACGTACAATCCAGGGGAACGAACAACAGCCTCCCGATGCTATGTCCAAATTAATAAGCAACTTGTGATAGCTATTTTGGATACTGGTGCGGCCATCAGTCTAATATCAAAGAAGCTGTTAGATAAATTGAACCTTCGGATCAACGAAAAATCAAATACGGTGGTCGTTACTGCGACAGGAGCCCGGGAGAGAACACTGGGAAAAGTCAAGAATATAGAGGTTTCGGTCCAGAAAGTAGGGATCCCTATCGACCTACAAGTCGTGGAATCAAGAGGCGAAACACTACTACTAGGAACAGATTGGTTCCAGAAATCTAAGGCCAGAATGCACTTCGATGAAAATAAGCTATATTTATGATACGCAGGGGAAGCTATCGAAGTGCTGATTTCCCACCATGGTACGGAGTCCCTCTTGGAACCCGAGAGCGATCAGGAAAGTGTAGAGACTGACTTATTCGACGAATTCGAATATGAGAAAGAAAAAGTAGACGAAAGAGATGGTTACTATACTGGCAACGTGTTTTCGGACGAAGAACTATACGAGAACCCTTGGGAAGAAATGGAAAGTCCGGCAATATACCTCACTAACGTGGAGGAGGTCCCTACGCTAGAAGGGAAAAAAGAACCTGAACTAACCACGAAGGAACGAATCGAAAGTCTAATAGAGAAAAATACCGAGCTTGAAGAAGAGGACAAGGGCGACATACAGGAGCTATTCAAGAACGAAGAAGACCTTTTTATCGAAGGCCTCGAAGGATTAGGACGAACAAGTGTTGTTTAGCACACAATTGACACCGGAGATACCAAACCAATCAAACAGAACACGTATAGGATGTCCTCAGATGAGAACGAATATGTGAAAAACAAACTGAAGCAAATTAAAGAACAGAACCTGATCCAAGCATCTGTTAGCCTGTGAGCTTCCCCCATCGTCATAGTCCCAAAAAAAAATGGAAAAAGACGCCTATGCATCGATTATCGAAAACTAAATATGGTGACAAAACGAGATGTTTACCCTCTTCCAAGAATTGACGACCTGTTGGAAACTTTCGGAAACGCCAAAATATTCTCTAACTTAGACTTAGCCAGTGGTTATTGGCAAGTGGCCATGAAACAGGAAGACCAAGAAAAAACAGTATTCGTCACTAAATTCGGAATGTACGAATTTAGAGTAATGCCGTTCGGATTGTGCAATGCTCTGGCAACATTCCAACGACTGATGAATATGATCCTACGTGAACACATCGGGAATTTCGTAGCAGTATATCTTGACGACATCATCATTTACTCACAGACCGTGAATGAACATATTGAA